GAGCATCGGTGCACGCCCGACAGAGACCCGGCTCCTCCTCGTGCTCAGCTTTCCTGGCCAGTTAGCTGCCACGAGCTACGATCCCAAGCTGCGAACTCAAACTACACTCAGGACTGGTAACTATCCAGCAACTGCAGAACATTTTGGTGTGTGTGTGTGTGAGTGTATGTGTATAAGCATTGAGGTATTTGCTAATAGTTACAGATTAATAATAAATGTGGCATCTTTGCCTTGACCCCTAAAATGATCCTGTATAAGTTTGTGGGACAACACTAAGTCAAAGGGACGTGAAGATGCCCGGCAGGCTATAGAATGAGGCCCTAAAGCAATTGGACTATCCATGCAGGTCCCCTAGGCCTATACTTCGGTCATTCATGAGCTATAATATATGCAACTGAATGAAGTACTGCCATCAGCTGGGTCTGAATTGTAAAGATGATTGTTGTCACTATCATGTTAAAAACCTGTATATAACATTACCCTAATTACCTGGAGGAAATACATAAATATCATAGAATCATAAAATATCACGGTTGGAAGGGACCTCAGGAAGTCATTTAGTCCAACCCCTGGCTCAAACCAGGACCAATGCTCAACTAAGTCATCCCAGCCAGGGCTTTATCAGGCTGCACAGATGAAAAGAAAATGTACAGCTACACAGTATTTCAGAACAGTATTTTTATATCTAGGTTTCCTCCAACTTCATGAATTTTATGGGCACAGTTGGGGGTACACCCACAAAAACAGCTTTGCCTGGGGAGTTTTGCCTTGGTTAACAGATGCAACTACACACTCAGCTGGTAACAAGTTGCTGGCTCTCCAGTGTGGATTGAAAACAAGGGAGTGGGGGAGAGAAGAAACAGCTTATAGTTATATGGTTGATAGTTTCCACTTGAATCTTCAAAATGGCTATTCCAAAGTTCAAGTATTTACTGGAGGGAAACTTACATTTATTAGACAAATGAGACATCTGTTGATTACTCTCAATATTTTCTCCATTCTGCAATAAGCTGTAGGAATAGTAAACCTATTGGGAAAACTGTGTCCTGCAAAACACCTGTGTGGATTTTCTAATACAGGTACCTCAACCAAGCAATATTTATGCATCTGACATCTCTTTCGGTGACTGGGAATTATTTTTTAACACAAGCATAGTAAAACAAAAGGGGTGAGAAAGCAGATCTGAAAACAGAACAGCGTAGAAAGACAGTTAAACAGAAAGGTATTTTCAGATTACCGTATATACTTGATCATAAATCGGTTTGTTTATAAGCGGTCCCCCACCCCCAGATGGATAAGTAAAAATGGAAAATTTTTATGACCCGTTCATAAGCCGACCCTATAATTCAGGGGCCAGCAGGATAAGCCGCTGGCAGGCCGAGATGGTTTGTTTACCTCGAGCGTCGGCAGGCACAGAGGTAAGCCTAAGTAAACAAAGTGTCCCGGTGCACCAGCTGCTTACCCTGACAGGCTGGGACAGCAACTGGTAGGGAAATTTTTTGGGGGGGAGAACCTGGGGGTCAGGGGAGTAAACCCTGTGATCACCCCCAACATAAACCCACCTCTAGCCTGGGACCCCCACACTCTCCCCATCCCTTATCTGGGGAAGGCCAGGGGAGGAAGTCTCTGGCCTGGCTGGAGCTGCTCCGGCAGGCTGGGCAGCGCAGCTGCAGCCTGCTCCGGTGGGCCAGACCAGGCGTCACAGCTGCAGCATGTTCCAGCGGCCTGGGCCGGGCGGCACGGCCGCAGTGTGCTCTGGCCCCCGGGTGGCGCGGCCACAGCCTGCTCTGGGGGACGGGGCCGAGCGACACGGCTGCAGCCTGACAGCCCTGGAGCTGCAGCTGCTTTGGAGGCTGGGGGGAGAGCAGCATGGCCAGAAGCGGAGAGACTCTGGCCCCCCCTCTTCCCTTCTGGCTGTGCTGCCTCTCCTTGCTCCTTCTGTCAGGGGGAGGGGCTGTGTCCCACCTCTCTCTCTCTCTATATATATATATATATACCCGTTCATAAGCCGACCCCCTTCTCTGGTGCTTCCCTTTTTTACTAAAAAAATTTGGCTTATGAACGAGTATATACAGTAATAATTTGAAAATGAAAGCAATCTTCCTAACTATTTCCCTAAAGAAAGCTTAGGTCACTTACTATTTACTAGATTTTCTCTTGACTACATCATCCCACCTATACTTGGAGTGTATATAGGCTACAGCCTTTTCCCACTAGTTGCTGTCACCAGTGCAGCTCCACCAATGGCAGTCACTATGGAAGCAGTAGTGTACGCAGGCCACCAGTACGTAAACCATGTCATCTAACTCTCTGTTATTTCTTGTTTGCATCATTTACTTGAATGAGCTCATGAATATTCTGTGTACCTGTTTAAATTATCTGTATAACCTCATACATCTTTTCAGCACCTGCCTGTAATCTGAACCACAAATAAACAGTTATAAATGTCAACACTGTTAGTATTCATAACAGAGAAGGGGCGGGGATGGTAGGGGACCTGATTCTCTCAACAAATCCCAAGATTTGAAAAAAGACGAAACCAGCCTCAGGATTTGAAGAGACTCAGTGAAGTTATTTAAGTGCTCTTAAATGAAATTATGGCCCATCTCATTTCTCTGCTATGAGCCTCACTGCTCATCTAAATGGAAGCATACTAAGATGTCAAAGTTACACTGCAAATAACTGACGTAAGGTACGTTATTCCAGAAGGACAAGAGCTTCTCACTGAAAAAAATAATAATAATAAAAAAAAAAATAAGGAAACACTAAGGTTTCCTCTTGAGGATATCTTAGTAAACTATAAAGTTATTCAGTTTTTAAAACAGCTGTAAAGGTTAAAAAGGTTTCCAGACATCTTCATAGAGAATATTAATGTTAGTTGGGTTTAATTGTTTTTTTCCTTTCCTTTTTACTCTCTGGAAAACAAACTTTCCTTTTATAAAACATGGCTTTTTTCCTTAAAAGATGTTGTCTTGTTCCTACATGATCGGTGTTGTAAGTTTTATATTTTTATTGATTTCAACATAATTTTTCATTTTAAATAGGAAATTTTTGACTGATTCCAGCATTAACTTTGTTTTATAAAGCAGAGTATGTACTATTTGAAACAGAAAATTTGGTTGTTTTTTGCTTTTTCCCCGTACTCTTTATAAAGAAATTCTGTTAATAGTAAGGGTTTTTCATTTTGAAAAAGAATGCATTGTTTCTTGCCAACTTTTTTTTTATGCTGAAAAGAAAATTTGGTTGGTTCTATATATGGCTTAGGTATTTAAAAGCAACAAGGCTTCTATTGAGAAAACATGGTTTATATTTTAAGATTAGTCATGAAAAGAGAAGAAATAAACTGTTCACCACAAATTTGTTGAATACTTACACCAGAAAACTTTTTTTTTTTTTTAGGTGCAAACAACTAGTCTGCAAAAATATGTTCCACTGTCAAGCATTTAAAATATTCAAAATCAGTAATAGCTGGGAAAACAAAAAATGATCATTACTTAATTCATTTCAAGAAAACATTAACTATTCTCTGCCCAAACTGGAATTCACATTGAGTGACTAGATTAAGTCATTAAGATTTGTACAAATATGACTAAATCAAGTTGTGGATAGATTACTTACTTCAAAGCGGAGTCTCCAACACCAAGACATCCTCTCAAACTAAGCTGTCTCAGGAATCCACCACACCTTTTGGAAATATTTTCCACCACACGACCCTTAAACCAGATAAAAATAAAGTTTTAATAAATGTTGTTTTGACACACCTAATATCTAAACAAATATGAAATTTCAATGCTTAGTCCATCCTCCTGCCATCCTCCTCCAGAAGGAGATTTCTAAAGTACGTAAGGAAAAAAGTACTTGCTCACTGAAGAGCTGTACCAACTCCAATTGAAGTAAATGGCCAAACTCCCGTTGACTTCAATGGTGTTGACGGAGCCTTCAGGCAATCTGGTGAAAAGAACTACTATTTGCTTCAGCATCAGGGGGTAGCCGTGTTAGTCTGTATCTACAAAAACAACAAAGAGTCTGGTGGCACCTTAAAGACTAACAGATTTATTTGGGCATAAGCTTTCGTGAGTAAAAACCTCACTTCTTCGGATGCATGCATCCG